CAGAATGAAAAAAATTTATTGCCACAATTTAAATTGTCGTCGTGATCATCGTCATATTCACTCCTAAAATCGTCATCATCATCATCACCACCATCATCATCACCATCTTCACCATCACAATCATCATCAACATCATCACCGCCATCATCGTCACCATCATCATCATCATCACCATCATCATCGTCACCATCATCACCATCATCACCATCATCATCATGAGATCATCGTCGTCGTCTTTTTGCAATTTCATTTCTATTTTATTCTTCTCGTTTATAGCAATGCTGTCACCATTATAATCATTACAATCATCCTCTCATCATCATCATTATCTTCATCATTATCATCACCGCCATCATCGTCAAGATCATCATCATCTTCAACATCACATGACTTCTAGACGAATTCTCCTGTAATTATGATGGCTTCCATCATTACTCCACATGCTTCGTGGGTTTTTGCATGTTTCTTTGTATGTTCTTGTATGTTTGTTTGTATTTTTGTGTGTCTGTATATTTTTGTTTGTTTCTTTCTTATTTGTATGTGCTTGTATTGTTTGATTTTTGTCTGTATGTTTGTATATTTTGGTGCTTGAATGTTAATATGTTTTTTTCATCGTTTGAGTATTCAAGTATTTTTGTTTAATGCATTTTTCCTGCGTTAACATTGCTGTTATTTTTGAATTTTTTCATTGTTGTATATAAGCAACTTTGTATGCACGTTTGTATGCATGTTTGTATGCATGTATCAATTTTTGCGCATAGTTCTTTTTGTATATTGAGTTAGTATCCATTACTGTTTGTATATATGTATTTGTATATATTTCTTTGTATTTATATATATATATATAAATATATATATATATATATATATATATATATTTGTGTATATGTGCTTGTATATATGTTTTTCATAGGCTCATATTTGTACATGTGTTTTGTATTACTGTGCAGGTATGCTTGTGCGTGATTTAAACCTACATATTTTTAATTTTGTATGTTAATAAGTTCGTGTGCGTCTGCATGTTTGTATTTGTGTGTTTGTTTATTTGTGTATGTGTGTGTATATATGTGTGTATGTGTGTGTACGTGTGTGAAGCAGGGTTAAGTAAATATAAATTAATGACATGCAAGCATTTCAATGTTATTGCTTCTGCTCGTTCATGCTAATGTGATGAACGTGATCCTGATGACGATTAACGGAAGATTGTCGTCGATGATGATGATGTTGATAAAGAGGATGAAGAAGATGATGAAGAAGATGAGGAAGAAGAAGAAAGTGATGAAGGTGATGATGGAAGTGGTGTGGATGATATTTTTGCGTTAATAACGTGTACTGATTTAAATTGTGACGAGTTTAGAAATGGAGTTGAAAGTATTTTGATGATCATCATTGCGACGATGACAATATGATCACAGTGTATATGATAGAGAACATTATCAGAAAGTAAAGTTAAAGGATATGTTTTTAACAGCAGCATACAACGCGTACGCACACGCAATCTCACACGTATTGCCAGCCTATCAATTTGGTCCGCAACAACCGCATTAATGCTATTTATACGGCGTTCCAACTGAATTTTTATCTGCAGATGGCGTCTTATATGTGTCTGTTTTTGTTTGTATATTTGTTTGTTTGTATGTTTGTCTGTATGTTTGCATTTTTATTGTATATAGTGTTTTGTATGTTATTCGTATGTGCATTTTACAGCTTTTTTTTATAATTAGACGAGCATTGTCTTTCCACGCAGGTGTTAATTGTGGAGCGTTATGTAAGAGCAGCAGGAGTAGTAGTACTAATAGTAGTAGTAGTAGTAGTAGTAGTAGTAGTAGTAGTAGTAGTAGTAGTAGTAGTAGTGGTAGTAGTAGTAGTAGTAGTAGTAGTAGTAGTAGTAGTAGTAGTAGTAGTAGTACGTTATCCACTTCATCATACGTACATACTTACGTACAAAAATGTATGTTTGTATCTGGGCAAGCAAACAGACCGGCAAATATACATAGACATACATATTACGCACATATAAATCTCATGAGATTGAACGTGATATACACATCAATGCGAACACAGACGTTGGAGAAACCCATACAATCAGAGCAAACTTTTAATATTTTGTGAAAAATCAATCAAAAGATGATATCAACAGAAAAGTGAATTTTTTACAATTCCTTGAATGTTTTGTTGCTTCAAAGACAACGAGCGAAGCAATGTAAGAAATTACAATTCTTACGGTTCTTCCTAACTGGTAGAAACGAATTTAAGTCGCATCTTACATCTCAAAACAGTTTAATAATCGTCAAAACTACGCAAAAAATGCGCACGCAAGTACTCACGCACACATACACACGAACACGCACAACAACACATGCACATAAGCATGATTCTATGTAGACCTACTAACTAACTAACCGCGGTGTTTCTTTGCTGTTGGCGTCATCCTGAAAAGCGCTCCTGCTTTGCTTTATGATGAAACATTTTGTATGCCTGGGTCTGTACAATCACACATTAATGTACACTTGCGTACACATAATTACCTGATTTATACACGAGTATACGACCACGTCGGGTATAGATTCATTCGTACCTAAGTAAGCACGTGGTCCATTAAAAACCTCACACATTGGCCCATCCACCCACATTCACATATGTATGCATGCATACATACATTCAGATACACATATACATACATGCATGCATGCATACACACACGCACACACACATGTATATATATAGAGAGAGAGAAAGAGAGAAAAATACGAACGTTCAACGCAATGCACCACAAGCAGCCATAAAAACTTGTGTATATTTTGCACATCGCGGTAAAAAAATTTCAGAGCAATTTTTTTTCTTTTGTTTTGTTTCTGTGAAAACATACCAACCTACCTACATACATACGTTTTGATTTGTATCAAAAAAAAATTCTTGGCAAACAGGACGATGCTTCGTGGATGTAATGTATGTATATTGTGCGTGTGTATGTTTCTGTGTACGTCTGTGTGTTGATGTACGTGCGTGTACGTGTGTCTGCCTGTTTGAATGAATGTGCATGTTTGTGTTTGCAGAAATCTCTGGTAGTCTGGGAGTGACGATGACAATGAATGAAAAACAGAACAAGAGTGTAGAGGAACGACTGAATGAAACAATGAACGAATAAATGAAATTTTTAAAAAATTTGATCAAATGAAAGAATTAAATAAATAAATGAACACTTGAAAGAAAGAACAAATGGAGGAGAGAATGAAAGAGCAAAAGAAAAAAAATGATCGAGTGAAAGAAATGAAAGCGCCTCAGAATTTTCTTCATCTGAGACCAATTTGTTGAGCCATGAAATATTCACATGATGGTGACAACGACGACGATGATGGTGATGACGACGACTATGATGGTGACGGATATAAAAATGAAAAAAAAAACCTGCAAAGTTATCTTCAGGACAATTTTCCAACTTATAAATCATGCAGTGAAAACGATTTGGAATCAAATTACGTAGCCCAGCGTCGTCTGCATACTTGTTGTGTATGTGTGTTTGTTTGTTTGTATGTTTGTATGTTTGTGTGTAAATGAATGAATGAATGAATCACTTAATTAATTAATTAATTAATAAAAAACGAATCAAAAAATAGTTGGACGAAGCGAAGAACGAATGAAGAGAGGAATTCTGATAAAATTTCAAAAGTAGTAACGCTGCCAGCAACTGTTCATTTATATATTTCAATTATATTTTTACAGGCGAATGCATTTTGTGTGTGTGTTTATGTGTACGTACATTTACATATACATGTAAAAGATAGTTTTTTCATGAGCGTGTGTTTATTCGTCTGTGTAGATGAGTGTATGTATGTATGTGTGTGTATATGTATGTGTGTGTACATGTATGTGTGTATATGTATATGTGTGTATGTATGTGTGTGTATATGTGTGTGTATGTATGTGTGTATATGTATATGTGTGTGTGTGTATGTGTGTGTATGTATTCGTGAGTTGATTTGGTGTGAACAGAATTCAATGGAGAAAATATGAAGACCTGAATAGTTGTGAAATTAACCGGATGACTGATGGAGGAATTCTATACGCTGTGAAGGAAGGAAATGAAGAATTAAAAGAACGAATGAAAAATTACATGAACGAATGTACGAATGAATGAATGAGTGAGAGAGTGAGTGAGTGAGTGAGTGTGTGAGTGAGTGAGTGAGTGAGTGAGTGAGTGAGTGAGTGAGTGAGTGAGTGAGTGAGTGAGTGAGTGAGTGAGTGAGTGAGTGAAATGTTAAGTCTGTTGGAAGCAAGCATGATGTTGAAGATATTTTTGCATGAATTGTAATGATGATGATGACGACGACGATAAGGAATATAATTTATTGCATATGTGTCGGTAGGTAAGTATATAAAAATTGCCAGCATGCATTACATGCCTGTTGTTTCCATACATCCATTTATCATTTTCACTCATTCATCCATCATTTTTATCCATGGATCCATTTATCATTTTTATCCATTCATCTATCCATTTCAATCCATCAATCATCGAACCTTTATTTAATCATTTCCCGCCACAATTTATCAATTAGTCCGTCAATCAAATAAATTTCTATAGCGCGAGTGTTGCTATTAAATAGCGCTCTAACATATCAAACAATGACGTGTAACGTTTTGTGATTGTAATCATTTGTTCGTTCGTTCGTTCGTTCATTCATTCATTCTTTTATTCGTTCGTTCGTTCGTTCGTTCGTTCGTTTATTCATTCATTCATTCATTCATTCATTCATTCATTCATTCATTCATTCATTCATTCATTCATTCATTCATTCATTCATTCATTTTTTCATTCATTCTTAAGCACGCTCTCTCGTTCACGTTCGCTTAATTTGTCAGTAATTGTTTCATTCATTCGTGCGTATACACAGACAAACACACACACGGACAAACACACACAGACACAAACACACACATGAACAAACACAGACACCGACACACACACACACACACAAAAACAAGCAAAACTAACACACAGATTCTACTGGGACCTCTTCATGTTGGTTCTGCTGATAGCCAACCTCATCATCCTTCCGGTTGCTATCTCCTTCTTTAATGACGACCTCAGTACAAAGTGGATCGTCTTCAACGGTCTCTCCGACACCGTTTTTCTACTCGATCTCATCATCAACTTTCGTACTGGTATGTGTGTATATGTACGTGTGTGCTTGTGCGCGCCTTTGTATGCATATGTGTGTATGTATGTATGTATGTATGCATGCATGGATGTATGTATGTATGTATGTATGTATGTATGTATGTATGTATGTATGTATGTATGTATGTATGTATGTATGTATGTATGTATGTATGTATGTATGTATGTATGTATGTATGTATGTATGTATGTATGTATGTATGTATGTATGTATGTATGTATGTATGTATGTATGTATGTATGTATGTATGTATGTATGTATGTATGTATGTATGTATGTATGTATGTATGTATGTATGTATGTATGTATGTATGTATGTATGTATGTATGTATGTATGTATGTATGTGTCTGTGTATATAAAAGTATTTGTGTATTTTATTTTGCATGCATGTGTGTTTGTTTGTCTTTTTTGTTTTTTACTGAGGTCAAGATGGTCATTTATAGTTAATTAAAATGACTGACGGCACAAGCGGAAACAAATGGAAATAAATCTGAACGCTGACAATTCAAGATGTCAGTTAAACATTTTTAGCTCATGTTTGACTTTTTTATGTTTGCAGCGAGCAATGTATATATAGCCTATCGAGATAAAACAAAAGCAAAGAAAACACACAGGCAGGCATTTGAGTCTGTTTGTTTGGGAGTATGTGATGATGGAACATTTTAAAATGTATACAAGATGAGTTAGTATTATGAAGGTATATGGAAAGTGTTAAATATTATCGATATATATTTTTGCTTACAAACAAGCAATACAAAAACAAACACCAATTCAAACATACAAACATACTAACAAACAAACATACAAACAAACTTGACGTACAAAACATTACAAGAAACTCAATAACAATCCTTTAAACAATAATCAGTTTGTTACAGAGTTGCGAGAGGGTGGGCATGATTTGAACTCTCTGCAATAAATATGACGTTGTGTGTGTGTGTGTATGTGTAAGAAAAACTATGTATCTATGTATGTATGTGTGTGTGTGTGTGGTGTGTGTGGATGTATATGTAGGGGGAGGGGGTGTTTGTGAGAGTGCGTATACATCAGGTATATATCAATCCACCCAGAGCCGGCTTTAGGCAAAGGCAAACTAGGCAGGGTCCTCGCAATGCAGATTAAAACAACTTTTTTATAGAACTCCTACTTCGATGAATTAATTTTATATACCTAACTGTTTTATTTTTAATTAATCGCAGTATTATGCAACAAGAATTTATCATAAAACATACGTATTCGGGTTGATCTACCAATATGTCTATGTGTGATTTTTATTTTATGCATGCGAGATTTTGTTTACGTAAACAGGTATATATCTGGTTTTTGTAGAGAGTTCTGTTGATCTGTAATCCATTTTTTTGTTTTTCTTAAAATTATTAACGTTTATTATCTAGCCGACTGAATTATTTGTTGATTATTAATTAATAATATCACCCGAAAATTACTTACCCTCTGAAAAACTCCCCAACACCAACCACCAGGCATCATCGCGGATAACTTTGCAGACGACATCATACTGGAGCCTCGTCTGATAGCCAAGCACTATCTGAAGACCTGGTTCTTCCTTGACCTCATCAGCTCCATCCCCCTCGACTACATCATCCTCCTCTTCTCGCCAGACCAGGCCATCAACCAACTCATCCATGCAGGTGCTGATGATGATGGTGGTGATGTGATGGTCGCTTGTGATGATAATGGTGATGTTAGTGGTGATGAAGATGGCGATGACGACGATGATGATGACGAAGACGTAATAACAACAAAGATAACAATGATGATGATGATGATGAAAATGATGATAAAACTCATGATAACAATGACGAAAGGGATGACTATGAAGATGCTGACGATAACGAAACCTACAAAATGATGGTAATAATGAGGCCGTGATGACAATGGTGTTGATAAGTAACGAATGTAATTCGACAAACCCACCAGCTAATGTTTGGTGTCTTTTGTGAACATTTTAAAGCCGTTGAAGTTAAAAACTCCCTATAGACAAGCAGTAATGTTATTTTAAATTATTTAAAATCTCGCTAAACACTAATTTACTTTGGTCGGCACGGACGTTGAATATCTTTTAGCTAAATATTTATTCATTTGATCATTCGTTCTTTAATTTCTTTTCCTATCCATTCATTCGTTCGTTCATTTATTTGTTCATTCATTCGTTCGTTTATTTATTTATTCGTTCGTTCATTCATTCTTTGATTCATTTAATCATTCATCCGTTTATTCTTTTATTTTTTCACCCACCCATCTACCATCCATTCGTTCACGTTCATACATTCGTTCATTCATTCATTTGTTCATTCGTTTATCCATCCATCCACCGATCCATCAATCCATCTTGCACTCCGACACAACAATTGTTATTGACGCAAAGCGGCATCAGTCTTCTTCAATCTCTTCAAAACGCAGAACTTACTGACAGCCATGTCTTCACTTCCTCATTCTTTATTGCCATCATCATCATCATCGTCGTCGTCATCATCATTATCATAATCACAATTGCCACCATTTACGTTTCAATCATCATAACCATCTTAATCATCGTCATTGTCATATTTTACTTTTATCATCATCACATCATCATCTTTTCTTAACAGGCGTCATTACCATTTTTACTTACTGAGTGACTACGTTATAATAATCTATTCATTATAATAATTTATTCATTATAATAATTTATTCATTATGGTAATTTATTCATTATGATAAATTATTCATTATTATTATTTATTCATTAAAAAAATTTATTACCATCTCAATCATCGTTTATGGCGTCATAAAAAAATACATTTCATCATGTTTTAATTATTGTCTATTTATCTATTTTCATATTTTTAAACGAATTTGATAGTCTTTTTTGTATTTGAAAAATATTTTTGCCTGGTTTTTCATCCATTTTTAATTTCATCTTTATTTTTGCTTTCATGATTGATCATTTTTTCTTTATATTATTTCTTTAATTATGGTGGTGTCTTTGATGATGATGATGATAATGATGATGATAAATAATGATGATGATGATGATGATGAATGTTCAAGGGAGGGCATTGAGAATTGTTCGTCTGGTCAAACTGTTGAGTCTGCTACGTTTGCTACGACTGTCGCGATTGGTCAGATACGTCAGCCAATGGGAAGAGGTTATGTATATTTTTGTTTTTTTTGTTGTTTTTTTTCTTTTAAATTACGTAATATTTTTGTTGATTTGTTTGCTTTATTTGCGCGCGCGTGTTTTGTTTGATTCATGTCTGTAAGATGATATTGGGAGAATTTTAAGAGTCGTTACAGATAATGTTAATAATATGCGTCATGCAGGTGTAGAGGTACACACATATTATTCACACACATACAAACACACACATAGGCTGTAAACATGAATAAACAACAATAAACAAAACAACAATAAACAATGATAAAAAATTATAAAAAAAGAATAAACAAAAAAGACCCAGATGTAGAATTCCGAAAGAAATCAAATTCAGAATTTTTAAAATTTCTTTTCAAGTTCATCGAGTATTTCTTATCTTGATAGCATTCAATATTTCAACCGTTCCCATAAATTCTCTATCAGTTTTTTTCATCATTCAAACTTTTCAAACGAATGCGAATACAGATACACAAAATGGCACTGAGATACGCACAAATAGACACAAACATACTCAATTATACACATCGTACTGGTATAAATACCTACATATAGTTAGCCAGCAATACGCAATACAACTGAAAGAAACACTTGAACGTTTTTATAAAGAACAAACCGTAATGAAGGCCAGCCAACGTGCTTCGAATCGAATTCAATGTTTTACATTTTTAGCAATTTTTTATCTGGTTGTATGTGTATGTATGCATGTGTATGTTTGTATATATGTGTGTGTTTGTGTGGGTGTCTGTACGTGTGTGTGTATGTGTCGTATGTATGTGTGAAGGTATGTACGCTTGCGCATGGCTATGTGTCTGTATGCTTGCATTTTTGTTTGTCCTGTTGATGTTAATTCTTCCCTACATGTGTGTTCGTGTGAATTTTTTGAGTGGTAAGATAGTCTAAAAGTATATAAACATTCATTTCGTTAGAAGCTCCAATCATTTTGTGTAATTTTATTTAATTTCTGTAACATTATCTTACTTATTTCATCATCTAATCAATTTATTGACGATAACATGTAACAGATTAGCGTTAATAGCTCTCTTTATCATGTACATATA